TCGTTTCCTCTCCACCGTTCGCTCTACTAAAGTGGAAAGAAGTGGGAGGAGCCTCCACATCGTTCTTGACCTGTCTCCGACTATAGTGGGCGAAAAACGCAGTTGATTTGGCGGTAGCCGCTGTTTTGATCACCGTTGGGGGCGTTCCCCTTTAAATTTGCACGTTTGCTGGCTTAAGCCGGTATGTCGCCTTCTCTTCTTCCTTCCTCGATGCTGTTTGTGTGGCTTATAGTAGACACGTTTCACGACCTTAAGGCATAAGTTCAGTGAATGCGGCAGAAACGACGAAATTGATGACGACTATAGAGGATCCACAGATGTTCACACACGCAGTATATGGGAAAAATAAATAATCAGTAGCGCGATCACATACGAGCGAACGACCACGCTATCTGAAAATAAACTGGCACAAGCGCTCCCATAAAGTTACATAGGAAAACATGCTAAAGAACAATTTCTCCAAATACAACATTACCTCACTCTCTCTCAGACAATAAACGACTATCAAAACAGAAATATAATAATGATGCTCAAAACACCGCTCCGGGTGTGATATATATGGAGCGCCACACAAAAGAAAGCCTCGATAATAGAGCTCAGGCATCCAAGAGACGGAAGACCCTTTCTGAGCCCCGTACACGTGGAAAGGGACAATTCAGGAATAGATTGGCCCCAAGAATGAAAGAAATACCAAGGCACGCCGTAGATTACCCTCTGTATTACAAGAAATGATGAATATAAATTGTAGTACAGCATAGATATTTTCTCCGTGAATACCGCCATCTTGAATGAAGGAACTTCTGGTATGCGGAGGAACATAGTTGGTGCTTTCAACACGCCACGGGACGATGCTCGCGTTATAACCACAGCGATCATTCACTCTTGCTTCGACTGTTCTATATTCTATTACTTCGTTCCCAGTTCTCATGCCTTGCTTTTTTGTTCTTTTTTTTTTTAGTTCCACATGCCGGATGTGTGAGCTGTGCGGTTATGGATGAGGACGAACAAAAACAATTTATAAAAATTCCCGCGTCTGTACCATAAGCCACGCCCTAGAAATGACTTGCGGTCCACATGCAGACCAGCCTAAATCACACCGGACACAGATAGTTTCCGGATAAATCTAGCGGATAAATAGTCCCGTTAAATTTTCCCGCGAAATGTTCCCGCTAAAGGTCACGGTGCCACGTGAGTCACGCGACACCGTGACTTCGCTTGACACCGTGTCGCGTGGCGCAATGAGGTCACTTGACGTGGTCCCGTGACGTCACGTTGCTTGACAATGTGACGTTGAGGGACGCCATGATGTCATGTGCCGTCACGCCAAGCGCCACGACAACCCTTCACGAAACGCCAAAGGATCCGCTATTAAACATAGCCAATAATGGCCGTCGCCTTAAAAAAGCAATAGAATGAAAAAAAAAAAAAAAAGTTTTTTTTATTTAAGAGCTTAGATGTGGCCTTTTTTTTTTTTGTAAATTTTTCCACGCAGAAAAACAAAATGGAGCAATATTTACGCCGGTAGACGCAAATTTGGTCGGTGTGGGGGAATAAATCAGCGCGCCCCGCCCGGGTGCTTACAAGACTAAGCACCTTTTCTCGACTCTTATTGGTCAGAGAGACCATTGACAAGTTAAATATGGGTCGTCAAATTGTATCTCCGGGACGTAATTGTATTTTAATCGACAATATTGTTATGTTTGAGAAACAAATAATCTAGATAGTCATTATTCACATTAACTGAAGAGCGTGTTGGTAACAATGACTGGGAACAGAAAGAATAAAACAAACTCCGGACAAGAATGTTCGTCGTCCCTTGTCCGGAGTTTGTTTTATTCTTTCTGTTGCTAGTCATTATTGTTTACGAAAATATCCCGAGATTGTTGTCCGATTTGGTTTCAAGCGATAGCAGACATGGAGGGCCGGCGTCTGCGGAGGGATCAACCAGCACACCTCGTCGAGCTTGTCTGCTTTCATGAGTGCGAGTCGTTCTGTGTTCACCAAAGTGTTTAGAGGAAGATCTCCTTGACCAACCGAACTTGTTTGCAGCAAACAAATGTCGTAAGTACGCGCCTTCGGAAGTGTGGTGCGGGTGCTTGTTTTCGTAGCGGGACTGGCCTCAGCCTAGCATCCCGCGTCAACTATGTTGGTCGATCCGTCTTGGCTTGTCCCTTTCCGCGTGTTGGTGATGAAAGATGTTGGTTCTAGTAAAAGCGGCCCCGCTGCTCCGTGAATTGTGCAATCGTTCTGATCGTAACTATGGTTTGATACCAAAAAGATACCCACCTACGCTGGTAAGAACTTGCAAGCCATTTGACTGGAGGCAATGGGGCGTTGGTTTGTCTATGCTCCCGTCATTTCGCTTCGAAACACAAGTAGCTCTCCAGTTTTGCAGTGCACCTGGCCTACCGAATCGAATTTTGTTATTGTTTTTGCGTCGCGCTTTAACTGTGCGTCATGACGCTCACTTATTTTTCTCGCGGATGCCATGAAAAAATAATAAACTAACCAGAACAGTAAAGCTAGAAAGACTGCATATTTATTTTGTTGATTTTCTTTTTTAGTCTTGTCGGCCGCTTATCATTGCACGTCAATAGATGTGAACAGACGCTTGTACTGAACCGTGGCTCGCGAATGATGAAACGCTAGAACGTGACTTTCATGGTCGCGCCTTCTGAGCGTTGAAGAAGTTTTTCGAAGGGGGCGGAATGGCAGACGGGCGGAGGCGAAAACGGATGCCGACACGCAGCTTTCCTGTCGGCGTCTCACGAGCATTGCAGACGACGATAGACGGTTGTGGAATAGCAGACAATGCCAGTGGCTGCCACGCGCCTGCTCGCACGATTAACAGGCGCTTCCAGACGCCAGACTAGACGCACCGGATGTCGCGAAAGGGAAACACTATAGCTTCTTAGCGTGTTCAGCCAAGCAGCCAAGACAATCGAGAAGTTATGGGCGAGCCCACTGATCTGTTGTGAGTGGGGTTTCGAGCGTGCCGTGACTAATTCGCGTCTAACGGCGTAAATATTGTACGAAATATTTTCTTTTATTTCGTGATAATATTACAAAAAGTAAGCTTTGCATCTATGCCCTTCCAAAAAAAAAAAACGTTTTTCTTTTCAGTGTTCAGTGTTTCAGTGCGAAACAATGACCCAAAAACTAAAGACCCTTTCCGCATATTCTCGCCCCCGACTGCCAAGTAGGCATGCCCGGTATGGGCGACAATAACATAAAAACGTTTCAACCTGCGAATAGTAAATAAATAGAGGGGAGGCAAAACGAGAATATGTGACGGTTACGTTTATGTCCTAAATGCCTTTTATCGGCCTGGCGACAGCAAAACAATGTTTTCGCCCATACTGGAAGTGACGACAATTCAAGATGGGAGCGCCCTCGCGAAAAAAGGTCTATACAACAACTGAGCTCTCTGACAACACGGCACAGCATTTGTCGTTTCTGCGCATGCGATGTGTCCACACCTGTCGTTGTCAAACGCGGGCGTGTTTGTCAACGACGTGTTGGTGTATAGTTCGTCTGCGTGGCCAATAGTGTGCAAAAACTTTAAGAAAAAAAAAAACTGGGTGAGCGGTGAGACAGCCATTTCTGAACACTGCAGCAATGCCGATAACACTATTACTGATAACAGCGAAGTCCCCCTCGCATTAACGAACTCCTCCGTCACTAATGCAACTTGAGGGCTTCCGGGTGACGTTCGTAAATATATATATATATATACGATTAACGTTCCTAACTTACATTTTTATTTTGAGGAACAACAAGATTATTTAAATTATCCGCTGATGGTGCAATATAAACTACAGTGATGTAAAGAGTAAAGGCCCGTTCACACACTTGCACTTGGCTAGAATCGACTGAACGAGGACTAGTGTTTAAGATCCTTGTAATGGCTTTCGACCGGCTGCATTGCAGCGCAGGCGGTCCTAAGCCGTCACAGAGGCTGGAAAACCGGTCTTGTCTCAGTCAATCGTGGCGAAACGCAAATATGTGAACGGGTTTTTAGACTCAGTTCGTGAGATGAACAGAGGAACAAATCTGAGAACACCGGTTGCTACGGTCATCTAAAGCTTTGAGTCTGAAGGCTTGCCCACACACTCGCGTGTGACTATCACCGACTGCGCCGCAACCGGTTTTTAAGCTTCTTGTGACTGTTTGCGACAGGCTGCGCACACTCTCAGAAAAAAAGGTGTATTATTACACCCCTTGTCCCTTATAATACACCCCAAAACTTCAATTCGACGTACAGAGCCCCATAGTCGAACAGACGGCCCCAAATTTTACGAGGGGCTTGATAGCCGTGTGGTACAACTTATTAAAATAGCTAATGTACGGTTTACTGACTACAAAAACATTATCGGAGTTTTCTTGGCCCTACTGCAAAAACTCAGTGTTTTCTTTATGTGGTCTTTCATACGTACTTTAGCTATTTAAAAAGTTACATCACACCGTTATCAAGCCCCTCGTAAAATTCGGGGCCGTCTGTTCGACTATAGGGCTCTGTACATCGAAATTAAGTTTTGGGGTGTATTATATGGAACAAAGGGTGTAACGATACACCTTTTTGCACCCTTTTTTCTTGAGAGTGAAGCAGTGCATCGGCTCGTAATCAGCCACAAGAAGCCGGTCGTTATGCTATCGGTCGTTGCCCAAGGCAAATGCGGAAATGAGGCTAGAAACTGGTGAAAACATAAAACAAACACAACAAAAACATATTCTCTTTAGCTGCATTTTGTCACAGCTGATAACTGAAAATATTGTCTATGACAACCCGATTGCATAGGTAGGATTACATCGAATTAGACGAACAAACTCGAACCGTCAGTCAGAATTTTGAGGTTTCCATTTCCGTCAATCCGTCAGCACATTATGCGCATTACGTCAATCGGTATTTATCGGTATAGGTACTGATATCGCACAAACGCGATGCCGCCAAATCGGTGGACAAAAAAAAAAAAAAAAAAAAGGGAGCACCGGAGACTCACTCGACTTTGATGAGCGTTACGGCATCTTCAGTGGCCGTGGTGCTCCGGGCGTCAAACATACCGAAGCGACTGCGGTAGAATTCTTCGATTTCCTTGGTGCGCGGAATGCGCTCGCTGATCACCTGCACAGTTTGACCAGATCATTGCGAAGTAACACGAAGGACGAATCCAGGCATGCGTTAAGTCCGGCCACTATTAGCGGAAAAAAAACCTTATCAATTTCTTCCTTCAGTAATGATTCTGGAGGGTCACTGAAGGGGAAGCTATCAAGTGGCATCTTAACTCGGAACGTCCCCCTCTCCCTAAAAATAAAAACAAGAGCAAAAGTTTCTCATTATTGTTTTCAGAAATAAGGAAGAAACAAGTGCATATCTTATATATCTCTATCTATATATAACTTTTATTTTTTTCATTGCGGTTGAAATACAATAACCAATAAACAACGCACTAATCATCTCGTAAAACATACTACCCTTCCATAAGCCCAAGAAAAAAGGAAAACAACAACGTTAATCCTTATTTACAAAGAGTCAATCATTCGGCTCGCTTTGCAGCGTCGTATCCGCTTGTGCCACCCTATTATGTATTACGTTGGTCAAGTAAATAAAATAATTTTAAAGTTTAAATCGCAGGCTGATGTGTACATGAAGACATACCTTGGGGCTAGCTGCATTGATAAGAAAGTCCACATCGTCCCACGTGTATTCCCGGAATGGAAGTTTCTCCTGCGACAGTAGAATGCAGAAGTACAGGTCAGAACAAGCGCTAATATAGGCAACTGCATGCCTATTTTGATAAAAAAATAGGAAAATTAAATGGGTAACCTTAATTATACCCATCGGGATAGCTGAAGGGAGGGTATCTCCTGAAAGTCATTTGACGGTTGTTGCAGTGGAGAACACGCAAGCTTAAAATTATAGACGATGTATTTAGTTTTTGAAATGTAAATCGTAGCCCTCTCACATTTAGAAAACAACTGCGGATAGACAAAGCCTGCCATGTCGTGCCCTGAACTGCGCATTAGAGAACGCTTGAGTCGTCTACACTGATTAGCCAAAGCATCACGACCATCCCAACACTGTGTGATTGATCACAGGTGTACAAGTTTGTAAGTACGGCCACAGAGCATCGTCACCTTGCTCGCTTGGGGTGCGCTTGGACGCTGCCCTTATCTAATTACGACACCTTGCTGGTTCGTAATCGGATTATGGCCGCGCCCAAGCGCACCCCAAGCGACGAAGATGGCGGCACCTTGAGGCCCTGCTTGCAAACGTGTACAGGTTACGCGCCATCCGCGTTGTTTACCACCTGCTAACGCGAATGATATAGTTAACGGCTGCCAGGGATACAGAGGGATTACTTTGTTGACTACTCATGAATGGAATGGGAACGATTGCTGATTTAGGCCACTTTAACAAAAGGCAAATCATGATTTCCCGACGGCTCGGAACAAGTATCTCGGAAACTGCACAACTCGACAAGAGTTCGCGAGCTGCCGTCGATAATACCTATCAAAAATGAAAAAGAAAAACACGATAAACTTTTTTAGTAGACTCCGAGGTGTTGCACGTCCTCGCCTCATCACAATGTAAACGTCGGAAGCTTTCCCGTTTAGTGAGGCAAAATAGGCGGCTACCTGTGACTCACCTGGGAGATAGATACAATGCAAGTCAAGATAAAAGTCCCTTTGTGAACACAGTCCATCGTATTTTGTTGGATATGGAACTCCGCAGCAAACGACTCTTGCAACTGCTTTGCGTCTCAAAGGTGAGTAACGCGGTCTGAGGTAGGTGGTCATAATGTTTTGGCTGATCAGCGTATATGGCCTATTAACGTCTCTACAGTGCTCTTGTTCGGTAATCCGCAGTGCATGCGCAATTATATTCCACGACTGAATTCTTGTTAACATCATTAGCACCATTCGACAAGATACGTGGCTCATGCCACGCTGTTCAAACAGATAAGCTGTTCTCATGCGCATATCTCATACCTCCAATTGACCCCGATTTCCAAAGTCAATTAGTGCCCGATATGTTTCGGTGGCGCACTCTTATGGCCCCCCGTTTGTGACCTCACAACCAAGATTTGCCTCGCCGTGACGTCACGAGTCGTAGTCATGGCTACTTATCACCAGTTGGCAACTACAAGTTAGACGGTGTGTGTAAAAGGCATGAGGAAAGCTTCTAATCATCGCAATTTTAAACCAACACCGTCAAAGATGACATTCGAGAATTGCCCTTATTTCTGCGGATGAAAGCAAAATTTATTTAAAAAAAAAAAGAAGTCAAAGTGAACGATTGGGTCGTTACGAAGGCCGACCACAGCGACGCTTCTGGTCGCGCACTCGCCAATGTTCCAACGTTCACAAAATCACAGCTCAACGTCTAACATTCACAGCCCAGCACGCGCACAGTTGTCGCTTCACAAGGCGACTAAAGCTGGTAAAGCTGGCAAAGCACCAGTAGCGTAGCAGGCAACATTTTTTGGGAAGTGGCGTGGAAGAGGGGGGAGGGGGGTGTTGAGGTAGTTGGGATTGTCCGTGACTTAGGGCACGAGGGAGAGGAGGGTGAGGGGGAGTTACAAATGCATGTATACATTTTAAGATCGTATTGATTTCGGAATGAGGGAGAACTAAAAGCCCATAAGCCAGCACTCCCCCCCCCCCCCCCCCCCCCCGCCTTCCCCCGGCTAAGCCACTGATAAGCACACGCCCAACGCGCGAACACCAATTGTTCTTCGCGGGTTTGTAAGCCTACTATCACGACTTCGTCTTCAGACCGCCAGGTGCTGTAAGAAGATTCACTCGAGAAGACTGGCGAGCGAAGCTGCCGCGACAGCTTTCTGTTCTAGCAGGTCGATTTCGGAGAAGTCGCCAATATAAGGGGAATTCACGGGCGATTATTGCCGAGCCAGCAGTTGTTGAGCGCGTGCTGGCGGTGAGCTACCACAGTTATTTTTGTAACGTACGTTGCTTACCGACAAGATACCTGGCTTCATTAACCTATAAACGTAGGCTCGTTTCGAGCATGCACAGTGAAAAGAGGACTCAAATATGGCGTCCAGTGAATATACCGCCCCCCTCCCCCCCCCCCCCCCCCCCCTACATAGCTTGCAAGTATCGCCATTTGTGGGTACTGACGGTATTTCTATTTACTGGTTTCTTCGAACTACGACTTCTGCGGTGTGAAACTAACACGGCGAACCGAACGCTCGCGGCTCATGAAATACTGGCATGGCCGCGAATGACGTCACATGCAAGCTATGTGTAGACCGCAGCCCACGACTGAATCAAGAACGCGTTCAGTTGACTCAGATGGTCACGTAGTAGGTTTCCCAAGTCGTTCTTGCGAGGCTTGGGACTCTAGACATGTCAAACACAGAGTTGAAGCCGAAAGTTGGCAAGGCGCGCCGACAAGACTTCGGCGCCAAAAGCGCGGTGTCATCATCGCGAGAGTCCAATCGACGCGTTCCGTAAACACTACGGCCCCAACTTTGTGTTTCACGAGTCTACAGGGTCTCGGATGGTTGTGAAACCTCCGGGCCTCGCCGGGAATCTGACCTCCAAAGCGTTTGATGATCGACTTACTACTCTTCTTCAGTTTGATGATCGAATAACGAAGCCGGCCCGCCGCCCCCGTTCTGCCGCAGCATACACAGTTCAAGAAGAATAACGACAACAAGAAAAGCGGCCGCCCTTGGGGCAGGCCAGAAAATTGGAATCCGTAGCGAATCCCGCGAGGTTTGTGACCCGCGAACAATCCAGCCTGCTTCTCTCGGTTTAAACTCGACGGACAGTCGTAAACGGCTACTTTAGATGAACGTCGACAAAGCGCCTGCGCGATTCAGAGCGAAGACTTCGTAACACCTCGTAAAACGGCGAAATCACGGCAAAGTCTTACCGGTGCCTTTCGCTGCTGGAGGGAGGGAAAAAGCGAAGAAAAACAGGATGTTTCACACCGCACGAAAGGCAACCCCCACGCGCAGTCACACAATGCCAGTACTTCGTCGTTCACGGCCGCCAGAGATAAGAATGATTCATGTTTAGGGCCGTACTAAACCGTACAGACGATTTAATTTTTTTTTTTAGAAAAGTGAGTTTTTTGATTATGTGGGGACCTATCACTATGCTCATCATTTTTATACAATTCTAGGAAGCTCATAATTCCGTGTAAAATGAATCGACAGAACTAAAACTGACATTCTGCTCTAGCGCCACACAACCATCGTTATTATTAGCGGCGAGATGTTTTGGCGTCGACCTCTTATGGTTTCCTCTCGTGACGTCATTACTTTACGAACAAAACAACAAGTCCGACGGTGTTTATAATTAGCACGGTGGAAGCTTGACATCATTGCGCTCTGAAACCAACACTGCCAACACCGTCACAATTGAAGTTCTTACATCATTCCTATTTGTGTCAATTAGAAATTTCCTGCTGACGTCATAGTCAACATTCGGCCAATCGCGGAAGGCCGACCACAGCGACACTTTGATCGCGCACGTCGCCAATAGTTGATGGCAGGTTTCGACTTCGGGGGCAACCTCCTCCCAACTCTCTGCACTTCAGTAGAGCGAATGCTGGAGAGAAGGACGCCTCCTCTCCAACGTTCGCTCTGCTAAAGTGGAAAATGGAGGGAGGAGCTTGCACTTCACTCTTAACGTGACACCGACTATAGACTTTTTTTTTTAGCTCAATCGTAAAATGTTTGCAGAGGGGCGCCTCCTTTCAATACATTTCCCGGTCCCTCACGTGTATTTCTAGATGTCCCAACTGTCCAGATTTAAGAGAGAGAAATTGTTCTTTTAGCCTAATTTTGACGCAGCGTCCTGCTGGCCCACATATGACTTCCCACAAGACATTGGAATCTTGTTGCGCTCTGTCCTAACGTTGCTCTGTCCTGTCTACTCCTTCTTCCTATGTTCTTACTTTGCGCTATTTTTGTGTGTTCTTAAAATGCGCAAGACACGTGCCATGAGCGGGTGCTCCGAGGCCATTGGCTTCCAAGGGCTGCTCTAGAGCCACTAAATGAGCAGCGTAGCTTATTTAGTGGCACTAGGCTGCTTATTTCAGCGAACACTGTATTTCGGCGCTGCGCCGCCATTTGCTTCCCATGGTCGCTCGAGGCACCGACCTCGTGCTCTGGCGCATCTAAAGCTAGTTGCAAGACAAATGCAAACACATCGAGGGTCTTTAGCCTCCAGCAGTATGAGCGACTTTAGTGCCATATGTATGTATATTTGAAGCGCAATATCTTTGCAACGAGGGTCTATGGTACTGACGCGCCAAAAACTCCCGTCGTTTGAAGCGCCATCTAGATTTCTGCTTGAGAACTGTGTGCCATGACGTGGCCTCCGAGATGTTTGGCGCGCAGGGCTCTCCTCAGGCCGTTCCACTCGGCGGGGGAGACTGAAAAAATCACGACCTACTGTAATCCTGACCTGCCGACAGACGAGAGTGGCAGCGCGCGGTGTTTATTACACACACAGAATCCGGAGCGTTTCGTAACGCTATGAGTGCATGGCGCCACTTAAAGGTCTTTCTGCTTCCTAAGATATCCGCACGTCAATTCGAGGCGCGCAAGTTGCGGCTGCGTTATCTGGTCTTTACCTGTCCGCGCAATAGCTCTCCCACCGTGATTTTGCCACTGTGCATGTGAAATACTTTGCCACTAGGGGAGCCAGCTGCCGTCATAGTTGCAGAGCCCAAAAACATAAAAGCACTTC